GACTTTGACTTTTAGAGTGAGTGAGATGGGAAGCACTGGAAGGTTTTGAGCAAATAATTAACATGGTCTCACTTGGGCTGCTCTGTGGAGGACAGACTGCCGATGGTAAGGGCAGAACAAGAGGGAGGGCACTGCAGTATTCCAGGCGTGAGTGATGGTGGCTTGAGGCGGGTGCTGGCTGTGCTGACTCAGCACGGCGGGTCAGCTTCACGCACCCGGGTCCTTCCCATGCTGACTCCAGATGTTTCTGCTTTGCTGCCTCTGGGCCCTGGCCTGGAAGCCACTGAGGTGTCGGCCAGCAGTGAGCCAGCATCTCTTTCACCGTCTGAGTTTTCTGAGGGAGAAGCAAACACAACAGGTAGCTCAGGAGCTCTTGAGATGTGCTCCTAGGGGCATCTCACCCCAGATGTTCTCTTCAAACTAAGTGGACATTTCTGGCTGCCTTTTCAGAATCCTTCATGCCCAGTGTGTCTCCCTGTGTGGTGGCCCTGCCTGTCATTGTGCTTATTCTGATGATACCCATTGCTGTATGCATGTATTGGATCAACAAACTCCAAAAGGAGAAAAAGATTCTGTTAGGGGAAAAGGAGTTTGAACGGGAAATGAGAGAAATTGCTATAAAGGACCTGGAGAAAGAACGTGTGGAAAAAGAGAAAGAACTTCAAATAAAAGGTAAAAGAGGCTGGGTATGGTGACTTACGGCTTGAATCCCAGCACTGTGGGAGGTTGAGGCAGGTGGATCACTTGAGCCCCGAAGTTCGAGACCAACCTGAACAGTAAAGTGAGACCCTGTTTAATTAAAAATAAATAAATCAATCAAAGAGTAGGAGGACAGTTCACCATCCTAGAAAGGACACAACTCCCCCAGGCACCATCGTAGGGAAGAGAGAGAGGAAATGCACGGCAGCAGCAGCAAGGGCTTGGAACTCTCACATCCTCGGAATGAATCTCTGAGAGCTCATATTCTTTCATACTGCCCGCCTGCATTGCATTCATTCGCCTGGCTCCATAACGTACTAAATGGTTGAGCAAAGCAAGTCTAACAATGTACTGATAGTACTCAGCCACCTGATCATGTGTCATTTCTGGCTTCTGACAGTGTCCTAGGCATGAGGGAAGGGAGATATTGCTGTTCATAGAAAGGAGGGTTCCTGCATTGTTGACTATAAACTTAGCTTCTTTTAGTTCTTCTGTTGAAGACATCATTTTGTTTGTTTGTTTTTCAGAACAACTTCAAGAAGAACTGAGTAAGTTTAGCCTTTCCTGAACTACTGCGTGTACAATTTGTGTTCTGCTCAGTTAGCAGCATCTCATGACATTCCCCTCTGTCTGTCC